TTGCACGTCCGACCAGTACGGCCAGCGTTTCAGAAGTGAATTGTGACTACACACCCATATGACCTTTATTATACACCCACATCATCATCACCACACACCCACATCAGCATCATCACACACCCACATCAGCATCACCACACACTCACATCACCACCACCACACACTCACATCACCACCACCACACACTCGCATCATCTACACTACACACACTCGCATCATCTCCACCACACACACCCGCAGCATCTCTACCACACACACCCACCCACATCATCATCACCACCACCACCACACACACCCACATCATCTCCACCACACACACCCACATCATCTCCACCACACACACCCACATCATCTCCACCACACACACCCACATCATCTCCACCACACACACCCACATCCACTCATCTCCACCACACACCACATCATCTCCACCACACACTCACATCAACACCACACATCATCCACCACACACACATCATCACCACACACCCACATCATCATCACCACACCCACATCATCATCACCACACCCCACATCATCATCACCACACGCCCACATCATCTCCACACACACACCACATCATCTCCACCACACACCCACATCATCATCACCACACCCACATCATCATCACCACACGCCCACATCATCATCACCACACGCCCACATCATCTCCACCACACACCCACATCATCTCCACCACACACCCACATCATCTCCACCACACACCCATATCATCTACGCTAAACATCTACATTATGTGATTTGGAAATAAAGAAAATATCAATACAAGACTATAAAATAAGATAAAGTATAGTAAAGTACAAAGTTTATTTTCTGTGGGAGGTGAACGTTTGTGTTGAATCAGTGGGTGGTTGTCAGTAGTGCATCTGAAGATTCATCTAGTTAGGCCTCTCAGTTTAAACCCAAAACTGAAACACGAGCTATAAGTTTCTTCTCCCCCTGAAGATTCTAGAATCTTCCTCAATCTCTCTGGTTGTTTTGTAACATGTGAGGATGTGTAGTGAAGATTATGAGGATGTGTAGTGAAGATTATGAGGATGTGTAGTGAAGATTATGAGGATGTGTAGTGAAGATTATGAGGATGTGTAGTGAAGATTATGACCGTGTGTAGTGAAGATTATGTGGTGGTTTAGTGAAGATTATGAGGAGGTGTAGTGAAGATTATGAGGAGGTGTAGTGAAGATTATGAGGAGGTGCAGTGAAGATTATGAGGAGGTGTAGTGAAGATTATGAGTGTGTGCAGTGAAGATTATGAGTGTGTGTGTAGTGAAGATTATGAGGATGTGTAGTGAAGATTAGGAGGATGTGTAGTGAAGATTATGTGTGTTTGTACTGTATTTCCAAATCACATTAGAATGATGAAATTATTTTTCCACATCTTACATGTAACAATACCAACATGAAAAGCCATCTCACAGGACATGGCTGAAGGGTGACATGTGTATTTTTTGAGTAGTGCACTTCATTCTGATTGACTGAAATCAAAACAAACAATTTCTCGTGATGCGTTTTTGATGGATTCCATTAGTTTTCTTTGTTTTAATAATTATTCAAACTTAGGTCAACCTGGAACTCATTCTCGTATCATTTATTATAAAAATTAACAAAATATTTACCGTACCTTAACTTTAACTACACAAGATGCTGTATGATGTTTCTGTCTTGTATTACCAAACTATATTTTAAAAAAATCATTGTGAAAATTTACATGGACCTAAAACATTACACAATTGATGAATTTTTCAGATTCATTTTATATCGAAAACCTCCATATACCAATCAGGCTGCTTACCAATTATTGCAGCATAGAGAAGTAATATTGGGAGAGGATTTAGAAAATCATGACCGATACTGTTATTGGAAAGGAAGATTTAAAGGATCAATTTGATTGTAAAAACATAATTGTGTATGGAGTCCCTGAAAGTCGATCAGAAGAAGCTGTAAGTAGAGAAACTCTTGGGATGCTTAGTTTCCATAGGTTTTGTGATGAAGGTCTGAATATGCAAGTTAGTCCAAACAGGATGAGAAAGCAAGAAAGCACACATTCATTAACCTTGAGATCAGGTGAAAGGTTGCTCATAACTCATACCACCAGTACAGTACTATGCATTTATGCTTTTGACCTGCATAGTCTTTACTTTTGCATGTTAAACCACCATTTCATAAATATATTTAATTTTTTCCTAATTTTTAATATGGCTTGGGTGTATTCTGTGTTTTATGAGCTATTAAAAGGTAAATTGGTATTGGTTATTTTATCTCTTCCTTACAGGTGACTCATCCTCCCCTTTTTTCAAATTCATATACTTACCTAATACATGTATGGTACTTTTTAGGAATGCTTCTAGCATAATAAGTGAGGATTTACTGAATTTTCTTTATTTTCAGCAAATGTTTTGTTGAAGTATAATTTGTAGAATAATTTTTTTTCTTGCACGTTCTACAGGGACCTGCACTCTGTCTCTTCAATAATTCAAATTTTACCAAGGAAGATTGGCATGGCATACGTAAACTCAGTGACAGCATCAAAAAAGATGATCCTCTGAAAGTTGGACAGTTTGGGCTAGGATTCAAGTCGGTATTTCACCTTACTGGTAAGTTGATGCAGTTCTGATATTAGTATGGCTTATTCAACCTTGGACATATGCTAAATCCTGATATGAACACACAACAGAGTAATATCCTCTGAGGTGCTTATAGGCTTCTATCAAATCACTCCTTGCCCATCTATAGTATAAGCTAGGCAACTGTAGGTGTTCCAACTCTGTACACAGTCATGTGTACACCTCAAAATAGGCTGTGATCCTAGACCTGCTATGCACATCTGATACCATACACCATGAAATATACAGACAAACTTACACACAAGAACTTTGTGTGTAACAAAATATACACACACACATCTTTACATCTTTTAAAAATAATGACATGTAAACATTGGGAACACGGAATGTAAACATTGGGAATGCGGGAAGGCAGTAGGCCCTTAAAAATCAAGGTGGGAAAAGGACAGCATACATATACATTGGCTGCAGAAGGATCTCTGTGAACTTCAAGCATGGTTGAAGAAATGACTGCTAAGATTCAATGTCACGATGTGTAAGAGGCTGCACCTGGGTCGTACCAATGATAAGGTGGCGTATCATATGTCCCAACGCTATGAAAAAACTGCTTTAATTGAGGCTCAAGTTTTCGGGCCATTGTGAGAAGGCGAATCAGGCAATGATCTTCAAGAGTGAGGTGCTTCCCTGCCTGGAGTACTGTCACCCATCTGGTCCCTGAGATATGCTAGGTACTGTCAATGGATTGAAAATGTCCAAGGGAGGACCACCAGGCTGGTACCAGCACTTCGGCTACCCCGAGAGATTAGAACGCCTGCATTTGTTTTTTTTTTTTGTTTTTTTTTTTTACCGGGCATTAGCCCACCCAGGCACAGGTAATTTTTAATGGCCCACATCAAGGCCTGGGGGATGAAAATATAATACAATAAATTAATGATGATGATGATAATAATAAAAATAATAACAATATTTAAAAATAAATAACAATTATAATAAAATAAAATAATAATAATAATATTTTTTAAAAATTATAAATGATAATAATAATACCCCCTATAATAATAAAGAGCCATAAATAAATACAAAAACATATAGGTAGTGAGAAATGATATATGTACTGTATGTTGTGTTGTCAATAGTAAGAGAAACAAATGAGACCCTGCAATTGTGTGTAAATGAGGCAGAAAAGCAGATCAGCAACCTAGGACTTTGTCACAATGTTTGCGATGTCATATGGCAGCAGGGTCTACCATTAGACAACACATTATGCTTCCAATATCTTCCCAGGCGTTAGTACCTCCCTGTTTGATAGCTACCTACATATACTGCAGACGAGCAAGGGGGGACCTAATTGAGATGTATAAACATCTCAAAGGGCACTACTCTCGAGTGTCCTTACCTGGAGCTGCCGGACACTCGCCCAACTGGGGGTCACAGCTCGGAAGTTAAAGAAGCCTCAAGTTCAGAAAAATGTGAGGGGTAATTTTTTCTGAGTGAGAGTTGTGAACTCTTGGAACAATCTGCCAGTGTGTGTGAGAGTGTTGTGATGGCACCGAGTGTGAGCGCTTTCAAGACCAGCCTTGACAAGCACTGTAGCAGGTTCAGATACATTCAGGAGCCAAAACATGCCCAGTACTTGGCAACAGTGCATAACAATGACGTGACCAATCGCCCAAGCAGCAAACGAGCCGATCAGTGGTGTTGAGGGAAAAAAAAAAAAGTTATAAAATTTTTTAACTATTCTAACCAAATCCCAATCAATATATTTTGTACAGCATAAGGTTTAAGTGTCATGTGGTTAATAAAAAAATCTTGTTAGCTAGAAATGTAAGATAAGAATTGCATCTTTTAATTTTTTATTTTTGTCATACTAATTTTCATAATTTTTTTTTCTCACCACAGATTTTGTCACAATTCTCAGTGGTCATAAAGTGCTCTTTATGGATCCAGGTGAGCCAGAAAAGCACATGTGTCGCATCATATCTTTGAGCAATTTAACGAGTATCTGTCCTCTTGAAGAATGTCTGCACCTATGGAGTGACTACTTGAGCAAACAAAACCTAACTGATGGCTATTTACCTGCTACTATATTCTGGTTTCCACTGAGGCAAAGCCCTTCAGAAGTATCGGGCACTATTTACACACACAGTCATGTTGAAAGATTGTTTGAATCATTTAGCGTGGAGGCTCCTGTTTGTTTAACCTTTTTAAAATCCTTAGAAAAAATAAGTCTTAAAATCATTGAAAATGAAGAGCTTCCAACTATTATCCATCAAGTAGAACTCGCCAGTCCATCCATGTTGGAGGTTCAGCAGAAGAGAGAAGATTTTAGAAAGAAACTCAAAGAGTGTAATGGATTTCCAGCTCAGAAAGTTATTTGTGATTATAAGGTTACAGTCCTAAGTAAAAGAGGGAAAGATTTGAAAGTGCAGACTATGTGGGTTCTTCATTATTTGCCAGGTACAAGTGAGGCCTCTTCAGTAACCTGGAGAGGAAAGAAGAGTAACAGCCATATGCCTTTAGTTGGTGTAGCAGCACCCTTGAACCCTCATGAACCCTCATTGTCTCAAGGCCACATATTCTGCTTCCTACCATTACCTTTGGAAAGTGCCAACAATACTGGTCTCCCTGTACAGATCAATGGATTCTTTGCACTTAACCAAAACAGAAGACATGTTAATTGGAAGACAAGGGAGAGCAGCAATGAGCCAGATGTAAGTACCAAGTTGTATAGTACAGTACTCTACCTTTTATTCAAAGTCGCTCATGTACCAATAGTGTTTTGGGATTGCATTCATAATTTTTTACTGTGGAATGATGTGAAGCAAGTGTGATTGATATATTGTACTATAGTTTGGGCATTTATAAAAACTAAATAAATTTGCACAATGGTTAGTAACTATGGCTGAAACATTAATAACTTGGGAAGTGTCTGCTTCTGGCACATCAAATTGCCACAGACAACAACAATTTGGGCACTTGACTGTGATTTTAAATGAGTATTATTTTACATTTAAGTAAATTAATGAACAGTGATATTGTTGGTAATGATTAGCAGTGTTTTACTTGCAACTCAAGGCTTAAGTGAATTTAAGTCTACACAGCATGAACACTCAACAGAGCAAAGAATTTTTTTACTTTATTCTAATCCTCAAGGTCAGCACCTACAGTATAGTACTGTAGCTTATCCTCATCACCTTTAGGTTAAGAACATTAAATATGTCTGTTTCATTACTAAGGGAAGTATTAAATAATTTTAAAATTGGTAGTTTCATTAAATGAGTTTTTAAAGGTTTAATAAATACCATATTTTATAGCATGTAAGTTGCATTGTTTTGTCTGAAAAATGTGTCATATGTGAAGTTGTTGTCTCCCATTGGCTAATTCATCCCCCAGTTGCCGTCTCCAGAAGGCTCAATTTTACCTAACCCAACTCCAGAATAAAAAAATTTTATTACTATATTTACTTAAATTTGTTATTATTATTTTTAATTAATTAATTAAAAATAACTACATTAATTGTAAATACGAAAGCTGGATTTATTACTACAGTATTGTACTGATGATGATAACCCAAGACGATTAACGTCCATAAGGCAGACACCCAATTCTTTAGAGGTAACTAAGCAGTAACCATTTCTGAACTCTTACAAGCATTACTACAAA